ATATGTTCTAAACTATTAACTTACTTGAATAAATTCAAATCTAATATATTATTTGAATAAACAATATTAAAAATTTTAGTCGTATATTTATATAATTCTTATTTTTGTAATAACTCGATGTAATAAGAATTTATAATTTATCACAATTTAGAGTGAGAATTATTCACAAAATATTTATATTGTTTTCCCTGTATGAACTATACATTGACAAGTATAAAAAAGTAGTTGGATATTTTTAAAACACAATACGAATTTTATATTTTTATTTCATATTTTTGTTTTAACGGCCTTGGAAGGTCTGTAAAATTTGTAGGTTACAATTATCACCCGACAAAATACGACACTGACTGATTTAAATGACGTGAAATAGGTAAATAAACATTTTTCAACCACTTTTTCTCTAAACACAGACACTTTTTACAAAATAGGCCAACATACAACGAGTAGGAATTTTCTTAATTACCTAAATTCAAAAGATGGTTTAAATTCATGCAGAAACGCGGTTGTAAAATGTAAAATTGGAAAGTGATGTAATGCTAAGAATATAACAGCTGGACCATTGTGCTCTCTGCATGCTTCTGATTAACTTAAAACACAATGTACCTAATTCATATAAAAAAAGTTGTGAAATTAACAAATCTCTAAATCAGAGATGTGAATTTATGGCGTTTTCTGGTATAAAGTTTGACAGAATCAAACACAACTTATCACAGTAATTGTGACTATAATGTTTAATTTAGATACACTTATATTTCATTGGACTTCAAATTAATATTATTTCAAGTTTAGAGATTAATTTTTTTCCGTGCGCACTGTGAAAAAATGTTGGTAAATTGGAAACTATTATATTCATATATACATGCACATACTAACGTATGTTGTAGAGTGCCTAGCATTACTGAATTATGAGAACAGGATGTGGTCGATAAGAAATACACGGAAAGACCCACATTTGTAAAAATTACTAAAAATGGTTGCAATGACCGGAAATAAGGGGACTTTTAGCATAATGTACTACAGAATCAGCTAAATTTACAAAAGAAATAGATAAATTTGCTACATTGAAATAGCAAGTTTTAATATTTTGTGTAAGAGTTGTAAATGTAGCAAAAATTGATTATAGTTTTCTCTAATTTAATTAGACAAAATCTGACAAATGAAAACATTTTCCACTAAAACCTACTATCCACTGTAGTAATTTTTGGTGAGCAAGTGTGGCTAGCGACTGCAGTCATATGGCGCCTGCATTTTTATTGGTTGCTAACTTCGTCAATCTCCGTAAATGAGCCGATGCCATCCGATCATTGACAGTGACTATGTTTCGCGTATGTAAAATAAATTTGGATATTATCTACAATAATTCAATATAAAGTGAAACGTAGGTCGTTCGTTATCTCAGAAATTGACCATTATAAATTAATAAATTTTGCATTTATTCCTGTCCCAAGAACTATGTCTTATAATAAGTTGTTAAAAGTAAACTGCTTTCTCGTAAGTGCTGTAAATTTTCGTCATTCAATATTTAAGAAAACAGAGATGTATACTTTCAGTGAAATTCGTTGTCGTGCGTGCAGTTGTGTATTAGTGTATTAATTAACCGCGTCTATACATATAAGTGAAATAAACATGTGTGTGTCTTCAAATATTTATCCAACAAATATATAAGTGTGTGTCTGTGTATGTAAAAATCCTTCCAGTTTACCTCGATTAGTCAAGAATTGACGGGAAACCGGCGACAAAAATCCGTATTTTTTCTTTCACTCTTTCTTTCTGCATTTACAAACGACTATAGTAATTTTACGTACACAACACTTCTGAGTTTACTACAGTTGTTTGGAACTATTGGACGAAATAGTAAGAAACTTTGCTAATTTGGTGAACATTTGTCGGATTAATGACTTAGTGTAGAAAATAGTAAAAAATACAAAAAGTCCCCTTATTTCCGGTGGTTGCAATGTGAAAATAGTAAATTCTAGTGTGATTTTATAGAAAAATTAGTAATCTCGGTCTCTCCGTGTACATAATGGTATTTTTACGAGTAAGTTTCTATACTTGACGACAAATCGACAAATCTTACATATAATTTTTTTCCCATTCTTATAATTTTTTTCACGTTCTTTCTCTTGTTTTTATTATTCCTGGTCCAAAATATTTTTTTTATGTAATAAATGTTGAAAATGGTACATTCTCTAACACTTCCCATGTAGAATTTTATGAAAATATGTATAACTAAACTCGGGAACTATTTATCCTGTAAGGGAGTAAATGTATTGATTGTTTCTATGAAAATATTCAGTTTGGAAGGAAGTGAAAAAAATAAATAAAAGACATTTATTTATTAAAGAAATTGATAAATTATAATACAATCGTATTTTTATTGTTATTATACAATTTTATTTTCTATTATAATAATAATTTTAATATTAATGAACATAATGAGAATTTTATTTATCTTTATATTGCCATAATAATACTAATAGAGCAAAATATTAATAATAATTAAATTTTCTTTTTAGTTTATTTAAAATATAAAATTATAATTAATACTATTTCAAAATTCCAAATTTTAATTTTACATAATTAATAGGGGAGAACAAGGTGAGTTGTAACAAAACCAATTTTTCGAAGGCCAATTTCTCTTTTAAAAATTTTGAAAATCGTGAATTTATTACATTTTTGATGCACTATTTAATGCAAATTTACTTGACCACCTGAGAAAAGTTTTTGAGATGTATTTAATATGTGTGCAAAAAAATTGCTAAAAGTAAGTTTTCGGCCGAAACTTTGATACTTTATTATTCGACACATATTTCATTTTTATTATTCTAATATTTACCTTAATAACTGTTGGATATCCTATAGTTTAATGAAATGGTTTTGTTTTTTTGTGTTAGTCTCAAAATTTAAAATAAAAAATAATTATTCGAACCAATGCAGTTTTTCGCACCTACGCGAGTTGTAACAGGCTGTTTCAACTCACCTAGGTTTACGCAAATTTGTGCTTGATCGAATAGAGTGTTTGGATTTTTGCTGAAGTATATTGTTTTATCTTATGGCTTTAAAAAGTATTTAGAATTTTACAAATTTTCGTGTAAATCACTTTCATATTTTCCAAAGGAAAAAAAATATTAACAAAAACATTTTTCGAATTGCTCTTTCATATACAAAAGTTAAAAATAATTTCTATTTATACGTTTTTTTGTTATTGTATTGAGCTTGTTGCTCATTTTTAATTTAGTTTTTGGTTTTAATTTAATTTATATTGATCTCATAAATTTTCTTACTCTAATTACTCCTTAATTATTTAAAAATTCTCAGACAAAATTGTATTATTTTTAAATTTCTATAAAATATATTATGTAATATTATTTTTAGGTTTTATAAAGCTCAAACGATCAATTATAGATCGTAATTAAGTACGAAAGATTGGTTTAAAATATCTAATTAGTGTTAAAGAAAACGAAATATGTGATAACCTAATTTCAAAAATAAATTAAGGTATTAAAACAATTGTTTTATTCGTTTCTACTAGTAAGATGTCTTTACTAACTAATTAAATTTACTTTACTAACTAAACTAAGCATATTAAAAATTAATTTTTTTAATTAAAATCACAAAATTTGCAACTGTTACAACTCACCTTGGGACTAGGTGAGTTGTAACACCGGGAACTGTTTTGCATTTTGCAATTTTTTCGCAAACCCTTACAACTTTTTACATTTTTTATTCACATTCTGCACGAAACTACCTATCCAAAAATACAAAGTTCATAAAAATAGGACAATTTTTGACTGAGTTATACTGGATAATGTAAAAATCGTTCCAACTCACCTTGGTCTCCCCTACTAATAATTATTGTCACGATCAAATTAAAAATTCATCTCTTCATATACAATTTTCATTGTGGTTAATTTTGTCCACTGTTGTTGCAAATAATATTATTTGAAAATAGTAATTTTCTATTGCCTTATTTTTTTAATACGAAATGTAGTAGTAAACTGTAGTTTTTAAATAAGTTTGAATATAATGAATTTACAACTAAAATAGAAACGTTTAGTGTTTATTTTTTTACGGATATTTAATCGAGTCGTAATTTTTATTAATACAATGGTGGCGCAGAAAAAAAGGTATAAGAATGATTCGTCGCCTTCGATTTAAAAAATGTAACGCTTCTCTGTTCTATTTATAAAAATTGAGAACATCTGCTTGTCACTTATCAAGTATTTTTAATTTCCTTAATTTTTTGCAGTTATTTAAATTTTATTTTTATATCCATTTTCTAATTATTCATTGCTCTCATTAATTAATTGAAAGCACATTGTTCGTAAATATTTTATTTAGTTTTGTAAATTTTATCAATACGTAAAAATTGTTTTTTGTTTTATTCATAAATAATAAGTTTTTAGATATTTTTTATGGTGAAGAATAATAATTTTTTATTTCTTTTCTTTATAGGTAGTGAAAGCATTTTAAAATTATTTTTGTTGAATAATATTTATCTTATTTTATTTATTTTTATTTAATTTTTTTCTTTCTTTGAAATTCAAGATATTTTATTTATTTTTTTCTATAATTAATATTATTCTTGTCTTATTTATTTTCTCCTTCAAGTAATTAATTATATTGAGAATTTTATTTATTCCTTTAACTATTCTAATTTATTTATTGTTTACAAAGTGTATTGCTTTCATTTATTTGATTTATTCATACAGGTTTTCCTTTTCTGTTTATTTACTATTAATCCTAATGTTTATTTATGTTTTTATTATAAATAATTAAAACTTTTTTAATTATCTTTCGCTAAGGATGATTTTAAGTTTTTCCTCTGTCGTTCGTTTATACTAAAGATGAATTCCTCCACTCGTACTTTATTTAACAATTGCTGGTCACTTTATAAAAATTATTTTTTCTGTCTGAGAAAAAAAATTATAAAACCATAAGAAGCAGAAACTAAGGTAATAATTTCAGAAGTGAAATATTATATTACAATTTTTACCTACTTTTTGAAGTAGGTTGAAGGAATAAAGCAGAGGATGAACTGTCATTATACTTTGGATATTATGACCGGTCATAATTTTCACATTAGCGGAAAATGGTCCTTTCGATGCAGCAGCCAATAATATGGTCGTTAAAATCTCTTGCCTAACACTGACCATTAAATATGATCCACGGTAACACATATTTGTAATCAACTGACACGTTTCTCATTTCACTTTATTATATCCCTTTCCTCTTTTTAGTACAGTACTCCCCCAAAACTGTACCTATATGACTCCCTTCTCAATTTTCATGAAAAAAACCAATCTTTTACTTTTTCCACCCTTCCCAGTAAAAAAAACTTATAAATATTTTTTATTTCTAATATTTCATCAAAAACAAATTTTTATATTTTTGATATTTTAAAACTTTTTTACATTTTATTCTTTAAAAACCACTCATTCTTAACATGAATTTACCGATTATTATTTACGTTTTACAAGTATTTTAATTTATTATTAATATATTTGTGTCTCTTTATATTTAATTAATTTTGAAATTTTGAATTATCTTCAAATTTTTATTCAGTCTTATTAAAATAAAATTCTGTGTATATTTATTTAAGAAGGAATTATTTAAAAATTAAGTTAATTCACATGTTTTATAGTAATTTAATTAATTGTTGAACATGTGATTACATTTTCAATGAACTGTTCTCATCTTAAAAATAGGCCATGCGGATTTATTTTCAACTTTTCTTTAATCATTTATATTTAACAACTACTTAATTTTTTCGAGTAATTAATGATTCATTAGAATTTAAAATAATTTTTCATTCACAATTTTTTAAATAATTCAAACTTTTTTCTCTCGTACTGATATATTTTATTTTAATTTTTAAGTAATTAATTCCCTTCGAAACTTATTTACACTTATATTTCGATTTATTTACTATATTTTTAATTTTATTTAATAATTCATATTTTGTATTTACAAGTTTTAATTCCATGTAAATATTATTTTATTATTTATTAGTATTATTTATAACAAATAATTTTACCCAATTAATTTAATTTCAATAATTTAATTCATTAATTTAATTATTAATTTATTTATATTATTTTCTTAATTATATTTAAAATATTTTATTTGAAAAATATTGTTTACTTGATTCTTGTGTAAAATTAGTTTTTCCAACCGTATGGGGAGAAAAGAATAAATAAAAAGATCACAATGAAAATTGAGAAATTGAGAGAGAGCGCGTAAAGATTAAGGTGCCAAAATCACGAGCCATGACATTGTGTTGTCAGTTGCACGGCTGGCAAGAGACCGAAGTGAACTGCGGGTGGAAGTGGTACGAGCTTTTCCCACTTTCCTGGTTTTCCTCTGATACCCCCAAACCCCCGCTTCTCCATCCCCCAATATTCACTTCATGCGCCCATCAACCCCTGATGTATACTGGTGAGCTTATATTATACCTTATACTTCGGCAGTGATCCAGCGCCTTTTTTGCGACCGGAAAATCCGTACAATGGCCCTGCTTTCTTTTTATATACCCCTCCGTCCTCTCTCTCTCTCTCTCACTCTGTCCCTTTTACATTCAACAATCAGACACATTCATTATTATCTTTTTCTTCTCTATTTCTTTTTTCAATCCACCATGACTTTTTAAGAAAGCTACGCACGCAAGTTTCATTAATAAAAGAAAAAAATGTTGAGGTTCTTTTAATTGAAGCAACCACCCGTTGCGTGCAACTATTTGCGCGTTACTTTAATCGCTTCTTTACTTGTATGCGTTAAAATGATAAAACTTTAATTTTACTGTCAAATAAAAAAGACTTCTCAGTTTAGTTTTTCCATCGTTTCCGTTTTTTAAAGTTTCCTTTATTTATTGTGTTCATTCCGTTTTTATGTACATTTATTTCTTTCTTTTATAGGTTATCACATATTCTGTTTTCTTTAACACTAATTATATACATTTTAAACCAATCTTTAGTATTTAAATACTAAATTGAAAATCAGAAACAAGCTTATTTTTAAACATTACTAACAAAACAAACTATAAGTAGAAATTATTTTTGACTTTTGTATCGAAAATAGACTACCGTCCGTGAGTATCAGGACGCCCCTTTTTCATGAGTGGAAAAATGCTTAAAACGTAGAAAATAAGAATGACAAAAAGTTTTCGTATTTTTTTCCTGAAAGCTAATAAAATTATGAAGACTGACACCTGATCGAAGAATTATTATCATTGACTATTTTGTCAGATACAGAAAAAATACTGGATTTTGCATGCTTTTCGTAATTTTTTAATTTCTCGAAAACTAATTAACTTTTATTAGCGCTCTTGGTCTTGTTTTAATCTCTTTTTAATGTAGAATCTAAATTATTAACTAGTATTGTGAAATGAATTTTTCGAAAAAAATTTAAAACCGTAAAAGTAAGATTAAAAAAATTCAAAAAATTATCATGAATATTAAAGTGGCAAAAAGGTCAATGTAAAATATGTTCATTTAATAGATATACTAAAATTCAAAAAAGCTTTTTAATAACTTAATTATTTAATTTAAAAAAAAATTTTTTTGAAAAAGTGTCAATCTGTTTTTCAAAATTTTTTTATCCGACTCACAGTTTCAAATTTTTTTGGAAAAATTTATATCACAATACCATTAATTAATTTAGATTCTACATTGAATAGAGATTGAAACAAGACCAAGAACCCTAAAAAAAGTTAATAAGTTTTCGAGAATTCTTATTTTCTACGTTTTAAGCATTTTTCCACTCATGAAAGAAGGGGTGCGGCGTCCTGATACTCACGGACGGTAGTGTATTTTTATTAATAATTTTTCCACTTTCGAAAATATAAAATTGATTCTACACGAAATTTTGTAGAATTCTAAATGCTTTAAAAGCCATAATATAAAACAGTATTATTTAGCAAAAATCCAAATAACATCTATTCGATCAAACACAATTTTTCAGGTGTAATGAAAGAAACAGCCTGTTAAAACTAATGTTGAAAATTTCCTCTTTGATTTAATTAAAAAATTTTATTTGATTTAAAATAATAATAATAATAATAATAATAATAATAATAATAATAATAATAATAATAATAATAATAATAATAATACTAAAAAAATAAAAAAGAGTTTTTGATTTATCTTTTTTAGTTTTACTTAGAGAAACTTTTTAATAAACATATACCAAATTTCGAAATCACAATTTTCCAGGGTAAACCCGCTCACTTTATCTTTTCAAGACGGAACAGTTTTATTTTTTAAATATTAAAGTTCGTCTTATTCCCGTCTTAAGTATGATTTATTATTGATAATTTATGAGTAATATAAACAATTCTATAAACAACAAATTGGTTTAATAAATAATGAACATAGATTTCATGAATTGCAACTATGGATTTAAATATAGTGTTATATTTTATTAAGAGAAAGTGAAATGTAGTTATAATTTTGGTTTTAATAAGTCATAAATTGTGTTATTGTTGAAATATAATACGGGGAATTATTTTATTCTAAATTTTAAATTTAAAACTAAGTGAGCGGCTTTACCCCGACTTCACGTGAGCGACTTTACCCCGAGTGTATTCCTCACATTTCAGAATAAATTTAATTAAATCTTTTTAAAATAAGACAAAACTATATATATACATCGAAGAAGGACATCCAATGGCAACAACAAAAATTTGCCAGATAAATTAATACTAAAAAATAATGATCGAAAAACTTAAAAATCCAAAATACGTTTTTTTTCTGACACCTGTAAAAACATTTGATCGTCTCTGATTCTATGTTGAATTCATGAAACTAAACGAAAGTTCGTTAATATAAGTTGAATGTTAAGTACTATTCACAGTACCAATATTTCCATCTTAAGTTGAGTTCATAGCGTCAAATCGCTAGTGAGCGGGTTTACCCTGTGCGCGGGTTTACCCCAGTCTCCCCTAATAATAATAATAATAATAATAATAATAATAATAATAATAATAATAATAATAATAATAATAATAATAATAATAATAATAATAATAATAATAATAATAATAATAATAATAATAATAATAATAATAATAATAATAATAATAATAATAATAATCCCTGAGGTGCAAAAGATGTGTGACCATCTGTGAAAAGATACTGTCGGCGCAGAGATCGATAACAACGCGTATCATCTCTGCATATAAGACAGTATCTACGAGTGCTGTGCAGGTCCTTGCAAGTGTCCCGCCAGCAGATCTTTTGGCGAGGGAAAGGGAAGAAATGTTTCTCTTTTCTAAAGAAAAAAGTTCCTTGGATGAGGAATTAAGACCAAGCAAGGGCCTGATTCGCAAAGAAGCGAGGCACAGGCTCATAGAAAGATGGCAAGAAAGATGGGATGGTGAGGAAAAAGGTCGATGGACTTATCGCCTTATCCCGGCACTCGCCACCTGGATAAATAGGAAACACGGTCAGGTTTCCTATTACTTGACTCAGGCGTTCACAGGTCACGGGTGTTTTAACTCGTACCTGTGTCGCTTTAAATTACGCGAGAACGAGGTGTGTGCATATTGCCAGTTCCCTGAGGACAACGCGGAGCACACCCTCTTCTCATGCAAGAAATGGGACTTGGAGAGGCGGGCTATGTTCGAAGGTGTAAACAGTCAAGTTACACCGGAGAACATGGTATCGCTGATGACCCGGTCGGAGGAGAATTGGCGGCAAGTCGAGAACTTCATAATCTCGGTTATGTCGAGGAAGGATCTCGACGGCCGCCAAAAAGCGTAATTTAAACAGCTTTCAATTTTGTTCGTTTGTTTTTTATTAATTTATTTTGTGATTTATTTGTCCTTATACATTTTTTAATTGTTTGTTTTATGTTTTTAATTTTTTATACGCGTTTATTTTTTCTTTTTTTTATATATCCGTTTATAATTTTATCTTCTGACTTTTTACACTTAATAACACATTTGTTAATTTTAATTATTGTTGTGCTGTTAATTCCGCTTTATATTGAAATAGTTTTAAATTTTTAACTATTAACGCAGGATGACCGCAGCGAAAAGCAGAAAGAGTTGGAGCGCCACCCTCGAAGGCTAAAGTCTAACGACAGTTCCGAGGGAGGGTAAAGGGCTCCAGAAGAAGGGTTACGGGTTTTAGTGGGTCGGGCTGGTAGTAGGTCGCCAGTTTATTAAATTTACTATAATATATATTTTTTTTTCTTTTTTTATATTTCCTTTTGTTTTATCATACCAACCCCACATAACCTTGGAGTGCGGAATCCAAGGTATCTGTAGGCAGATTTCCCAAAAGTCCCTAAGCAAAAAAAAAAAAAAAAAAAAAATAATAATAATAATAATAATAATAATAATAATAATAATAATAATAATAATAATAATAATAATAATAATAATAATAATAATAATAATAATAATAATAATAATAATAATAATAATAATAATAATAATAATAAGCGCCCCCCCAAAATTAGAACAACGGAGGCAATAAAAATTGTGGCCCGGAATCCAGAGACCTACCATGATCTCATAAAACTGGCAACAACTTCGGTAAAGCCAGAGGAAACTGGAACAGAGATTGTGAAAATTAGGAGAACTCTTAAAAAAGAGGTTCTTGTTGTTGTGAAAAAGGGGGGTGAAACTTCAAAGTTCGCTCAGAATCTTACCTCCGTTCTTCTGGACAAGGCCGAGGTTACGGCTCTTGTCAGTAAAAAGACCCTCGAAATTCGGGATCTTGTCGAAACAACTTTAGAGGAGGACGTTTTAACCGTCTTAAAGCAGAAGTTGCAAAAGCCCGAATTAGAGGTGACTTGCCGACTTCTGACACGTTTTGGTGGTACGAAAGTGGCACTAGTACGCTTGAATGAAACGGACAGCGAGAGTCTGCTTAAGCTGGGCAAAGTGCGTATTGGCTGGATAAATGCATCCATCCGAACGCACTTAGAAGTGACAAGATGTCAAAAGTGCCTAGCCTATGGACACGTGACCCGAATTTGCAAGGGCCCCGACAGAACAAAAAACTGTCGGAGATGCGGCGAAGCGGGACACTTCTCCAAAAAGTGTACTAATGACAAGCCAAAGTGCATAACGTGTACAGATTTGGGAAAAACGGAAGTCAACCATATCCCTGGAAGAATTTCCTGCCCGGTTTACAAGGAGGAACTGGAGAAACTTAAAAGGGCAAATCCTTAAAGCTCCTTCAAGTCAACCTGCATACAAGTAAGGATGCACAGGTGCTCCTGATGCAAACAGCTAGGGAAAATGAGGTGGATATCCTGTTCTGCAGTGAGCAGTATCAAGGAAGCGACCTCGCACCTTG